CCCGTTCGACCAATCAATAAGCCGCATTCCATTCGAGGTCGTGAATTTTATCACAGCTTTTCTCTAATATCCGGTCATGTAAGATAATGCTGGCCATGTAAGATAGCCATGCTTGTCTAAATGCAGATTCGATAATTTCACTGTCGATCATTGAGAGGTCGTTGGTCTCTTAATAAAGTTGGACACGTGAGCAGATTTGACTTAATGTTCTGTAACATTTGTGTAAGTGATAAACATTGGGCAACTTTGGCTGAAACGACTTATTTTCATTTAAGTTGATGAGAGAATAAATTAGATTACTGTAATTTATTTTGTTTCATAAAAAAAAGCAGACTGAAGAATCAAACGATGCATGAAAAACAAAACAGGATATATTTATAATCAATCATTACCTACATGTAATAGCTGTATCCATTTAATCTGTAACGATATAATACTGCTTTGTTCTCTTTCGTGTTTACAGTGAGGATGATAAAAGATTCAATCAATTATTAACGTGTTTTACGATAATTATACTGGTACGTTAAAAATAACGCATATTAGCTTACAGTAGTATATAAATATATTGCTTGTTGTTGTTGTTTTTTAATATAATATTGTACAATTTGACACTTTTTTCTCATAATGCAGTTAACTTACATGCCAGACTTAATTTACTGCAGGTTGCATTTGGCGGACTCTTGAGGACGGGGAGGGGCATTGTTTAGTTTGATCACGCATCAGTGTCGCAATTAGCGATAATTTGCATCGTATACTGAAACATGGAACATTTGGAAAAACATCTGATTGGTTATTATTAGCGCTCTGTATAGTAATATGATTGTCAGACCACATACGTGTGAATGCTAATATTCTGTAAAACCAAATTAATTCCTATAAAACAATCAACAACGTGGAATGCAGAGCTTCGTCTGTTTGAAATTAAACATACGTTTCAATCAGTTTTAAAACCTGATTATCTTTCTAGCTATTCACATGGAGCAATTAATAGATGTTATTATGTTATCGTAGAAATAAAAATATTAGTGGATTTTCAAGCATATATTTTACATTTTGTTCTTGCCATATTTGCAATTTTTCGAAAATGTAAAAAGGAAACGAAAAGTGAGAAAATAGGATGATTTTTGGAAAGAACTAATCAGCCCACCATTTCGGTGAGTTCTGACGAGTGTCGTCTACGCACACATATTAAAGTTACATTGAACTGTGATAAGACATATATGAGCTGTATGGCACTATCTTGTTATCAGTAGTAAGAGAAGGAGCCCTTCCCATTTGGCCGATATCACGACTGCACCTTATACCGTATCATTTATATAGAGTCCACTATAATCAGTTTTTGAACTTACGCTTAAGTCGTACCCAGACTCAAGCTTTTGATCAAATCAGTATATCACTATTCCATTTTAATAAGTAACAGAGATAAACATTAGTGTAAGTACATAATGTTGATTTTTCATTTCTATTCTGAATTAAAATTTTATAGTAAAAAAAAAAAAAATGGTGTCTGTAATTGTTGATTTTTCCTAAATATTATGAATGAAAGTTTTATAGTAAATCAAAAACAAATTGATGTCTTTAATTGTTGATTTTTCATTTCTATTCTAAATTAAAGTATTTTAGTAAATTAAAAACAACTTGGTGTCTGTAATTGTTGATTTTTCCTTAATATTATAAATGAAAATACCCTAGTAAATTAAAAACATCTGGGTGTCTGTAAATATTGATTTTTCATTTATATTCTTAATTAAGGTATCATAGTAAATTAAAAACAACTTGGTGTCAGTAATTGTAAAATAATTTCGAACGTCGTGTAATACCCGGCTTGTTACATACCCTTGAATTTCCAATAATAATGTTAACAGCACAGCTTTATCGATAAACATAGATTTTTCAAATACTAAATACTAAACGAGGTCACGTTGATACCGCACACAAATAAGAAAACCACGATTACATTTCGCTTCCCAGAAACGAATACCAAGTTTCTATATCCAGGAGATATCTTTCTGAAACGAAAGAAAAACTATTGTTGTATCATATTAGCCCTAATAAGATAAATGTTCAATGGACCACTGTCAAACATTAAAGAGACACCATAATTTAAATGGAGTATACCGACGATTAAGATAAATGTACGTTACACATGTTTTTTGTCACGTAGGACAGATATTTGTTTTGAATATGTTCTTATTGTATAACTCTACTCTACTAAGTGGAAATAGAAAATAACAGTTTCTTCTTTTTTCGCTTATCATATTCTCTCTCTTGAAGGGTATTCATACATTATTAACACTACTTGTATACGTTCCTATAACTGTTTACTTCTAAATTACTTTTACCTTTCTGTTAGCTATTCTCGCTAGTTTTGTTCTTAATTTAAATACAATTTTATGTGAAAATTGACCAGTGTCCATATGATCGGAACGGTCATTAAATGTATGAATAATTTATTAATGTTTTCCTGAGAAAATTGTTCGGTAGTATCCGGTTTATAACACGGAGTAAATTTCTTTCCAGGTGACATCTTACCGAGACAATATTCCTGTGTCCATTTGGTTCTGAACTTGCATTATTAGTTGATGAATCAGTCTGTTTTACATGTCGCAAAAACGTTCTCTTCAGACTTCCATGTAGGGAATCGTCATACTAAGAGAAAATATGTAGTAAATCTAAAGCTCCTGTCTATAAGAAATCATTTCATGCATAATAAATATGATATGTGTATATCAACAGACACACACACACACACACACACACACCAACACAAACACATACAAACACATACAAACACACACACACACACACAAACACACAAACACACGCACACAAAAAAACACACACACACACATATACACACCCTTCATCACAGACACAAACACAACACCCAGACAAAAATAACGACATGCAGACAGACAGACAATCACACAGACATCTTCCTCGCCGACACACCTACAGACATAACAACACGCAGACACAGACACACAGACAGATAAACACAGACACACAGACAGATCGACATACTCACATGCAGAAAGACCGACACAGACATAAAGGCAGAAAGAAGACCAACACACAATCACTCACACAGACACTCCCTCCCCCTCCACTCACTCACACAGACACTCCCTTCCCCTCCACTCACACACACAGACACTCCCTCCCCCTCCACTCACACACACAGACACTCCCTCCCCCTCCACTCACACACATACACTCCCTCCCCCTCCACTCACACACACACAGACACTCCCTCCCCCTCCACTCACACACACAGACACTCCCTCCCCCTCCACTCACACACACAAAGAAAGAGATGTGCATTAAAACGATACTACGGACTTAATTTCAAAATGGTTCCTTTTTTTCTATTCAAGTACCTAACGGGTTCTCATAAGGGAAAGCATAATAAGCGGAAGTAAGTGACATTTTATCAACGAATCATATATTTCATAAGATATAAGATATTTTGTGGTTTTTACCTTTTGGTCAACAGGAAAATGCATCGGTTTATTATCTGCAGTTATATAATAACTTGTTATCTTTCCTTATTGTTTTATTGTATTTTCTATAAGTCAGCTAGATAATAAAATCAATAATTCAAGTAGTTTGAGTATTAGGTTGTTATGTATATCCAAAGTTCGTTTATGGATGTAAGTTTTGTTAAGCTTATGTAGTTCACTAATTCCATACATCTCTTTTACACACGTTATGTTAAAATGCACACACACTGCAGATAAGACACAGCACACAACATACACATACAAAACCAAATTATGAACAACATGAACAACAATTGACACCATGCATTTCCTATAATCCCCTTTTATAGTTTTAGGTCAATGTTATAAAATCACACAGTTGGATTTAAATATTCTGTTGAATTTCCAGCAATATATCACTAATGGAAATCAGAAAAAAAATCATTTTTAAGCATAAAAAGTTCCTTTAGGTTTCAATAAATTACTGAATGTTTCAGGGAATTTCCTCAAACTGTCTGTCACACAATGGCACAAAGATGTTTTCTCTTCGTTTGGTTTTGTCGTAAAGCAAGCACTATGGCCGAAAGTATTTCATCTGTAGCGCTATTATTGTTAGTTAAACAACTTTCTGTAATTATGATATGTATGCGCTGGTCGAACAACTTTCATTTATCATGCTACATGTATCTATATTTAAGTCAAACAGCTTTAATCTATCATGCTATATATGCGATAGTCGAACAATTTTCACCTTTCAAGTTCTTTATGGTTTCAGTATAACCCAACAACTCGAAGAAAAGACTGAACATCCAGTGCCTGCATTGACGCTTATTTCCCCCAGAACCACTATAGATTTCCTCTTGAACAAACGTTGTAAGAAAAACTTACACGACCTTCTACCATCATAGATTTTCTCTCTACCTTTATTAACATTATTTCTATTAATTCACTTGACCTAATGTCGTCAATGTGAATTTGTTGTACCATAATAAGCCTTCGGTTACAAGCTAGCCGTGGGGATATGCGATAACACCAGTCATAAATGTAGCCGTTTTTTTATATACTTTTATTGTTTCATGGTGAATATTATTTGAGTAATTATATGAAAGTGTTTATGTTTCTATCTTGGAAAAGGGACGGACTGCCTTGCAAATTTGACAAGCCCCTTTGTCTTCACTGTTGTTATTACGCATGTGCTTATATATTTCTGCAAATAGCTTCAGCTGTACAAAGCTGGTTAGTCTCACTCACTAGTATACATATGCATAATGAAATATGTCAGGAATTAGATATGCTAGACACAAAGATCATCATAGATTACATTCAAAACGTTATATTTTATTACAAGAAACACCTTTTTAGAACAAACAAAACAAGAGTACGACTGAATTAAAGTAATAATTGCAAGGCTCTTCAAAGGCCATTCAAATTAGGGCTGATGATTTCCTGTATTACAAGAACAATCAGAAGTATTATTCATGATGTACCAGGAAAGGACAGGCAAACAAACTATTGATGTAGGATTTGTAACATTTTATTGAACAAATGATGCATTAAGTGAATATTTGTAACAATAAGACAGTATCAAATATAATTATAGACATACGATGCTGCATTGTAAATCAATAACATATTTTATGTAGCAACAACAATCACATATTTCATTTTTTACACGCCATACCGTATATAATTTTATTCTATCAAAAAAGTGATTCGTATAATTTGTGTTTTACATTGTTCGAAGTATGGCCTAAACTATTGTATAAAGTCGCAAGAAATTGCGATTTGATCAATGTTAAAAGCGATGATGATCAGAGAGATTCTGCTCTAAAAATCATAAAATATCAAAGCTTTTTATTTTCATTTTAAATGCAAGTGACTTTAACAATTGTTCTGGTATATTAAATGTGCAACGGTTTTCCCTACGTTAATATAAAGTCAATAGAACGCAACACGTAATACTCATTAGGTTCTAAGTACGCATAACACACATAACTGGTGAAGTAGAATTGTGCTAGCCATGTTGAAGACGATGTAAATATAAAAATCCTGCTAAAACCGCATCGTAGTCTGTCATTGTGACAAAAGAACATTTCCCAAAAAGCTTTTTCCAAAAGTGATGTTATGGATAAACAGCCAGGTTCAGAGTTAGCCCTTACAAATGTCAAGTGCGACCAACAGTCCACCTATTCCGGCCAGAACACCAGCAAGGATAGAAAGGGCGAACGACCAATCAAGTGTTATTCCGGTTCCCAAATCGGATGTCTTTGCACCCCAAATGATGGCGGCTAGGATGATACTTGCAGCTAAAATGAAACAAAAGTACATAATATAGCTTTAGGTTTAAACAAAAGTTCGAAATAAAAGATACAAGTAAAACCTTAAGGGAATGGTAAGTATATATAATATATTTCATCTTGAAAACGATTTTCAATTGCACTTAAGAAGTATGTGTCTAAGGTTATTTACGGACGTGCCTCCATGTATGTTGTGTATGCGTGCATGTGTGTTTGTGTGCTGGAGGCACGCTATGTTTGTGTATTTGCCTCATTGCGATGCCGACCTGATAGTGCTATATCACATAAATACCATGCCTTAATGCTGAACGTTAAGCAGGGAATAACATCTATTATTGTTAAGGGCTTGGGACAGAACCCATTGCCTTCCTCCCCGGGCAAACGTTCAACATTGAAGCTAAAAGTGAGGTATTGCCAAGCAAGATTCTAGGAAATAAAACGTAGTTAGAAGCTCCAGTGAAAGAACTGGAGAAAATCGTAAATATCAATTCTATATCAAAACAGAAAAGTTTTATAAACTTTTGAACAGATATATTTCTTCGAAGCTATGCGTTCAGAATAGAATGACCTTATGTTACCTTATTATCCTTAATGTAAAAACTACTAATCGCTTTGTAGGGTCAAAAGTATCGAGATACCGTTATTACCTATTGGAACAGTAATTTGAAAGTTGATTTTTGATTTTTGGTGGACTATCCGAAACAATGAGCAAAACAATAACATTTCTAATTGGATATACATCCAGAGAGGTTAAAGGCGAATGGCTTGATAATATATGGCTTTAAAATACGATAAACCACAGCAGTCGTCATGAATGCTTCAGAAATAAGGAGTTGTCCGTGTTTATAGTAGTTAACTGTCATGACAACTGTTTAAGTAAACAACATTTGTCTGATTTGTTTCTCTGACCTCTGTTTTACTAAAGCAGTTGTCATGCACATGGCCCATATCAGTTATTTTGGCAAACCATCCGTCTTTTGACACATTTAACATTCCTTACCGATAAAGCGTGACATGTTAACACATTATAGGTGTGGTCGCCGAGACTGTTTCCAATATCATACTTATATCCCTGTTAAACTTTAAATGTATTTTCCCTGCCTCAAGTATTTACCAAATTGTTGGATGATGGACAGAATAATTGCGAAGGTTTTAATTTCAGGTTATGTAATAGTCATCATTGGTTATGTATGTATAAGCTAGGAGAGCCCCACAACTGTATAGATAAACTGACAACTAATATTCTATTAAACGTAGCATCAATGCAAAGGATAATTTCAGACCGTTGCCCTTGTAGTGAGTTTGACTAAATCAGAACTCTTCCCCGTTCGAAATACATGTATACCTCAATGTATAGTGACCCACAGCTAGGTAATGTATATCGTCTTGTACATTTTTCAATGTTACCGGTGTTAATCTTTCCTTCGCTTATGGTGTGCCCATATTTCAACGACTGAGAGTATAATTATGCTTTTGTTATACCTCAGTTTTCTGGGCATTTGTATTTAATTTTTCGAAAAACAAAATCTTCGATATACACATTCTCTATTGAAATACAAAAGCCCCGTCCTCCAGTCTATTTCCCTATTTTGCTACTTATGCTTTATTTTCAGTGGTCTTATATAATAATTTCATTAAATTACTTGGATTATGGGAATGAACTTAATTATATTATGTCTTTTAAGATGAAATTTAAGAACGCATGTCAAATTAAATGTTCGTCTGCTAATGTATTTAATGTGTATTAGAACGATATATTATATATTTATTTGTTTAGACATACATTTACTCACATACACATTACTGTATAACGGGAAATTTTCGCTGCGGTTTGGTTTTCGACTTTTTTCGCCCTCCGTAATGAGGGCGATTTAATCTAGATAGAGAACATGAGTAACCAATATAAAATACAAAGCAATTAAATGCGAAGGGCAAAATAAGTATTGGGCAAAGGGCGATTTTACCGGTGAAGGGTGAAAGTTTGACTGGCAAACTTTTTCAAAGTATTCAGTATGTATCACTGACCTCCAACGAACGCTGCCAATGTTGCAAGAATGAAGACGATCTTATGCGTGGCCTTCGAAAGAGCTAACGTGCATAATACTTCCAGGACAGTCGCACCAATGACAGCCAAAACGCCAATGACTGCAAATGCCCGACATATTTTCAACCAATCTTCCGCTGAAAAAAAATAGGAACACTTTATTAACCGAAATTCCTGAAATGGTTTCTTTTCAACGAAGAGAAGTTTTGCTTTTTATTGTAATCAAAATATTTTCGTATATAACGTTCCAACCTATCCGAATACCAACACGAAAAACTATTTTCAGAAATTTTCAGATTTTTTTTACAGTTAAATGCTTTTTGAAGACACCAAAAACATCCGACATGAAGAAAGAGCCATTTTAAAGACAGGCTGTGAAAAGTTGTTTAACACACCATAATTACAAATACAATAATATTAATGACAATGTATATGATAAAAATGATGTCATCGCTTATATAGAGATATTGAGTATTTTCATTCATTTGAAATGTAACACGACATTTGATTGGTCAATCAACATCTAACAAATAGATTCGAGGCGATATATTGTGATTAAACTGTCGCAAATATCCGGTTAAGTGGCTTCGCTCCGTGGAGCAAGTAAAACGGATAATCACGATATACCGCCGCAAATCTCAGAATACAGTAGGGTTGTCCCCTAATTATGTGTCAGATACAAACGTATACAGTATTACTTGGTTCCTTTGCTCGAAATCCTAGCGAACTGAGATAATTTTGCTGTTTTGAATGAAGTGGACTTTTCCAGACTATGGAAACAATTTCATTCAATGAAACCAAGAATATTAAAATTGAAAGAAATATATTTTATTTGATTGTATGTTAAGTTTGGAATATAAAGATTATGGTAATAACACGAAACATCTGTATACTTCAGATGAATGTTAATTGCATGTAAATTTCTATGACATGCATGTAATGACCATGGGGAAAAACATTCAATTGTTTCAACAGTAGCCCGGGGTTCTTTATGCTATTGCAAAAATACAAATAAATAAGTAAAAATAAATAAATAATATAAATATCAAAGAAGGCAGAAAGGCAAATCTGTCACTCTTGTATTAACTTACTCTATATTCTACTTCTCCTATGTTATTAACTCATTCACCTCTGAATACACATTTGAACTCTTATAATTCAAAGATTGGAATAGTTCAGGTTTCATGTGTGAATGAGTTAATTTTCTATTCGTTTTTGTGTAATGAGACAGCAGCCTAACGCAAGCTAGAACAAGTACAAAGAAATAAACAACAAACAAAACCAAAAACCAAAACCAACACACATACCATCTGGGTAGCTATCACAATCACTTTTTCCGAGTGCTGAAAAACAAAACTTCCACAGTCCGAATGACGATGATATGCTCGCATCACCAGCGGGAGTAAGGGCGGAACTCCAGTTTGGAGTCGCTAATCCTACTATTTGCAATATTGACGCAAGACCCAATATAACAAGGGCTATCTTCAACAATATGGACGAATCAGAGAAACCCATGGCGTATAAAACTTTGTTTGTAGGGCTGTTGTCCACAACTGAGTGACTGGAGGCCGATATATTTGAATAAATAACAAAGTTCGAAGCTGAAGTGCACGTACGTGGTTACATTCGTGATTTTCTGATTGGTTTAACCAAACATGCACGCATGCCCAGATTTGTCATTGTAGATATGACGCCCTAACCTTGATATTTTATCAGATTTACGCGCATATTTCACAAATTCATGTTATCACAAGTATTCGAGTATTGTTAACTGTTTTCTGAAACGAAAAGCGATTTATTAGTCGGAACTAATGTTACAAAACTAGTTTCGTTTTCGCTTACGCTGAGCTTCACTGTAATGCTTACATTACGATTAAACACAATACAAGAGATCTTACAATGGAAACACTATACATTGTATCTGCTGATCTGTTTCCTAACCGATTAAAAAAAAACAGATAACAGTTGGATTTAAAAAAAAAAAAATCATCATACTTTATAAATTAAGACTATTGAGACCAGTGACGTAAATATACAAAAAAAAAAGTGTACCGTGAATGAAAGCAATATTGTGGTTTCAAATCTGTCTACAGGGATTTACAGTTTGTATAACAGTTCATAATGTATCTTTTTATTTTAAAAAAAAATCAGGTTTAAAATAAATGCAGCGAGGCGAAAGATGCATAGAGAATCTTCCATGAGTGTGCATGTTTTTATTGAATTTATTAAACGAAATTAATAATTTAATTTCAAATTATTGAGGGAGTTTTATAAATTTTATATGACATGGAAACTCATGTAAGATTCTATTTATCACATAACATTCTTAAAAAAGCTTACACACAATTATGTGTTATTAGACGACGCTATATAGTTCGAAACCAAAGTACTCCGCGCATTGCAAAGTAGTTCCAGTTTTTCTCTCTCTTTTATAATAAACAGTTTTAAATGAAATGAAAATAATAATGATGACAAAATAAACATTTCAAATATTCATTTAAAATAGAAGTAAATGTTTCATGTGGTAGAGTAAATAAAAGTACAGTGAAGTACCTGAAGTGGCAGCATCTTTAGGTTAATTACGCATATGTTATGCCGTATTTATGACATGAACTCCCTCTCTCGGTTTGGTTTTTTTTTGCTCGTGAATAAGTACCCTCTTTCTAAGGGGCAAAGTCGAAAAAGTTATCAATTTAGAATTTGGTCAATCATTCCTTCATAAATAAATCACCGTAGTTTGAAACCAAATATTCAAACTGATACTTCATCATCAAACAGCTGTCTATAGATTCGTGATCACAGAGATCCCCATCGTTGTCTGTGTTCTGATAGAGTTGTGACAAAAACAGTTTACTGTCGTCAGTAAACTGATGGGGGCATGGTCTAGGGACTTTTTACTAATGTCAGTGTACAGATGGGGCCATGATCTAAGGTATCTCTACTTTGGTCAGTGTACTGATGGGGTCGTGATCTAAGGAATCCTTACTGTTATCAGTGTACAGATGGGGTCGTGATCTAAGGAATCTTTACTGTTGTCGTGTATTGTGTGTTTGTTTGTTTATGTTTAACGGCCCATCGACGGCTGTGGTCATTTAGGGCCATGGTGATTTATTTATTGATCTTATTTTTTAACAAACATGTGAGTAGCGAAGATAAAATCAGATAAAATGGTTCATTTTAAAAGCATTCGCATTGTATGTGTAGATAATAAAAAATGAAAAAGGGGGTTAAAATAATTTAACAGATAACGAATAGATGATATGGAATATGTGATATATAACACTGATATAAGTTTGTAAGCAATCAAATATGTTATATTAGGTAAAATATGTACAATATAGATAAAACAAACACCACAAAGATAGTACAATTTGTATCATTATACATAATCGTTCAATTAGTGGTCTTTGTTTTTATAAATATCCACAATCAAAAAATGACAATCAAATGTGATTATAACAAATGTTATCCGAAGCCCTGTCTGTCTGTTTTACTGCAATTTGCCTATAGAATTTCCAGATCACCTTATCCAGTATATCACTGTCGTCTAATTATGTAAACAGGTAAAACTGCAAATAATAATGAACTTGATTTTGTCATAAAGAACGTGATATGTTCATGTTATGCCCATTTGCTTGCTTACACATTAATAGGTTACGCCACATAACTTTGATAATTGAATTTAATTCCCATCACATATAATCATGTTTGTATTCCATATAGTATACATACCATTAGATGGCATGACTGGTATAACCATACATCTCATATCAATTTATCTATGACGAGAAATAATGAGTAAAATGCCTGCTCTCTGCTATAACAATATAATTTACTTCCTACATGTCTATAAGGTTTATTGCTTGATATGGTACACGTAGGTATTGGGTCATGGGTACTTTTTACTTCACTTAATACTCGAATGTCGAAAAGGTATACTAACAGATGTTACTGTATAAAAGTAAGCAACCATTGATGTGCCATAGGTGTACCCTTGAACTCGTATCAGTGTCGATAGGTTCAGGGGTGCACTAAGGGTTCACCTGTGTCTCTTTATAAAAAAATGATACTATATACAATATGTATTTTGTACATAAAGTGCCTGATATCTGCTTAAAGTATTATTGCATATGTTTAGGGTTTGCCATCAAAGTAGCTTGGTACCTGTAATAATCTATTCACAATGCGTATGTATGTATGTATGTATGTGTGTGTGTGTGTGTGTGTGTGTGTATGTATGTATGTATGTGTGTGTGTGTGTGTATGTATGTTTATGTTTATAACAGATGCGTTTATGCGGCCAGGGATCCTTACAGTCAAATACATACCGCAGGGCAGTATCATATTCACAACCTTATATTTACACGCAGGGTTTGTAAATAACTTTTTAATGCCATGTTTAATTTTGGGCAGGAATTGCTGTCTATTGAACATGAAGAACGATAGTATATTATCTATACCTATTATATTTTTTTCCTAATAACATTATTGCACTCTTAATTTTTGGTGTCTTATTGTCATATGCGCTAGTTAATAAAATGTATGATAATAATTCATTACAGAAAATGTATAATTTAATGATCGCTAGCTTCACACTTAATTCGTAATATTGATAATCTGTACCATCCGATCAAATGCGTAAATTGGAAGGATACCGGCTGATCCGCGTCACTAACCCCCGAGTTCGTGAAAAGGCATGCGATGTTATGTAGGATGGTTCTACTCTCAACAGGTAACGTCAGGTCTATCGTGTAATCAGCATACGGTATGGGGTCAGTGAGACGGGTCACTCGATATTTATATAACTGTTCTTTCTTACATTTCATTTTTGTATCACAGTCATTTGTTATATGGGTCCTAAAGGTTAATGTAAATAATGTTTATGTTTATCATCTATTTTTATATTGTTTTTTGTTCTCATTTGTCAATGTGTTTACTTCGCCAAGGCAAATTGTGTTTTCAGAATATAAACAGTTATACATGTCAATCTTGTTTACAAAACTTAAATATTGTTATATCCCGTGTATCTTGCTTAAAACCTATCTGTGTCATTCTCTGCTCTTACTCTACCAGGATGTATTTTCTACATATTCGTTTCCTTTTTGACAATGGATAAAACAACAAACTATCTTGGTGCTGTAACGGCAGGGAATGACTCACTACTTTATTAATGTTTATGTACCGTTAGTGTCTCTCTGAATCTATTCTCTCTGAATTTGCCCTACATTTTTATTTTATTATATATATTATCCATATGCGGTGATATTCACCCGAACCCCGGTCCACCCAACTCCCACATCTATTTTATTTCTATTTGTCATATCAATATTTGTTCGTTAAGGAACAAAACTCATATTCTTGATGCTGAATTTTCCGAATACGATATACTGTGCGTCTCTGAAACTCATCTTGATAATTCAATTCCTGATAGTGCTGTATCTTTGGAAAACTTTGGTAATATTTTTAGAAAGGATAGAGATGATTATGGTGGCGGAGTTCTGATTTATACTAAACATAATATTGATATTAAACGTAGACCTGACCTTGAGACAGATGATCTTGAATTAATATGGACTGAAGTAACTACCCATAATAAACCTATTCTTCTTTGTCTTATAGACCCCCTAACTCTCTCATTGGCTACTGGGACAGGCTAGATATTAACCTAAATAATATTATTGATCTGCAAAGGGAAGTAGTCCTGGTAGGTGATATAAATCAAGACATGTTACATCTAAATCCAAACTCACATCTACATAGAATTTTGTTGAAATATGGGTTAGAAAACACTGTTACTGAACCTACCAGGATTACTTCCCAGACCTCAACATCACTTGACACTATACTAACAAACAACGTTAACTTTATTAAAAACAAAATAGTACATCCTCCCTCTTGTAGTGATCACTGTTCAGTTAGCGCTGATCTGAAATTTAAGACTTTAAAGAAACATGCATATAAAAAGACTTTATTATACTTCAATAACACTGACTTTGACGGGGCAAATAAGTATCTTAAGTCCATTGACTGGAATCTTTTATTACAAGGTGATATTGAAAATATGAACTCTCTTTTAACTGATAAAATCCTAACTGCTATCGACCTATTCCTGCCCCATAAAATAGTAACTATAAGACCTAATGATAAAATTTGGATGACTAATGGTATCAGACTCAAAATTAGACAAAGAAATCGACAGCATTCCAAAGCCAAGCTACATAATACTCCATCTTCTTGGGCAAAATTTAGATCTATTCGGAATGAAGTTATATACTTAGTCCGGGAAGCTAAAGAAAAATATTTATCTAAACTTCAATCTTCTTTAATTGATAAAATCATACCCCCCGGAAAATGGTGGCGTATTGCAAAATCGGTTATGAATCTCAAAAGCAAAAACGAAAATGACTCTCCATTGATTATCAACGGCGAACTGAAAATCCACCCCATAGATAAGGCGGAATCTTTTAACGATTATGTCACTTCGATTTCCGTAACTGAAAAGAATGCTGACGATTTACCTCCTGACTGCCCCCGACCCCGACATAACTTTTCAACAATAGACATAACCGAACAGGACATTTTTGATCCGCTCGATCT